CAGGCCTTCGGAAATTTCAAAAGGTTTTCAGAAATTATTTAACCTTGTAGAATTATATATGTACATTTAATATATACCTTCCGTCAGGCCTCAGCAAATAAGTTCATGAACTTTTAAAGCGTTTTGTTTGAGCAAACTAACATCGTTAAAAGTAGTAATGCTCAACTGTATAATGGATAATCCTTTATTTTTACATTTGTTTACAGAGACTGTATTGTAACTGTGGTAATCAACGCTATGACAAGCCTTTTCGCCGGCTTTACGGTCTTTGCCTACCTCGGCTATCTTGCGCACATATTGCAAACGCCTGTGGAAACTGTCAGTGGTGATGGTTCGTCGAAAACCAATATTTACCTTCTTCAATTTTGGCATCACTTAATTCAGAATCATCCGCATACGCATCATCATCACCTTTCATCATCAATATCATCGTCAGCATCATCACCTTCAGCTGCAAAACTCCCGTTTTTGTCGTGCAATGGTTATAGTTACCATCGGATATATATATGGGCTTGTAAAAATCAATCAGTTCCTCCTAGAAGGATTGGTCGTAACGTGAAACGATGTTAGTTCCCCATAGCACGAAGAAATACGAGATACAGTTATGTGATAGTTTCTTTCGAGATTTTGTCCAGGTGAAAGGAAGAAGGCCTTTGCTGCGGTGTCGCTTTTTGGAAAACATTGCCTGCACATTTACAGACTATTGCCCAGGGCTAAAAACTCTTATTTGCATCTTGTTTGAAGAAACTGAGTATCCGCCTTTTACTCGAATGCGTATTCCTGAACTTTCTTGGTAACATATTGACTATCACTCAAATGCAAACGAATTTCAGTTTTCAATAGGCGCGGAGTAGATTTACGAGAACACCACATCCTACTCGCATGTCTCCTCAGTAGCATCCACCATTACACTGGCGTCACGATATACGTATTAATCGAATTAATCTCATAATAAAGTGGGAGAAAAATCGTCCCAGCGGAATTGGTCTATTTGATACCTCATCTACTCACTCAGATGTGTAGCTAACAGAATAACTTGACAACCAGGTAGTTGAGACCAATATACTTTGCATGAGTTCGGCTAGTTATGTGGGCCTGACAATTGACTAAGCCTCTGTAGATCATCTACAGACGCAGGGTTTGAAACTAATACTACGGGTGACAGGCATATTGACTTATACTTCATAAATTTGCCAAAAAGCGTTTGGAACGCCAACCTTTTTTCCATTGCCAAAAGGATTAGGTAAAACGGAAATAATTAAGCTGTTTCTTTGGTTTTCATTAACCTGTGTGTGGTTTCAAAGCAACCAGGTTAGTTCTTATGGAAACTTTGCAAAATTTACATGATACATTTCAGAATGCATACATGCATCAGTAGCTTTAATTCAAGGGTGTTTGCCATTGACGAGTTGCCTATATTTACTGCCGGACAGGGGAAATCCACTCTGTAAAGAGGAACAGAAGGTACCTGACTCTTAAAATTTAGCACATGAATGATCAGTGAACTCGTACTCTATGGGGGCAAAATTTGTCTAAGACAAACGTTTGGACGTGCAAAACATGTCTAACGAACACCAGCGGACTTATTAAACCTAAACCTTTAATAAAGATCGGTCAGCGATATTCTACTCTCGGTAGTTCACGGGAGTTGGTTGCCCAGCAAGGCTACAGGGGTAGCAATTTTGATGTGGTGTTTTGTTTAATGGAGTGATCGATATTCTTAAATTCGTTATTGATTTCCAAGCTCAATATTTTTGTAATCTAATGATTCCTTGGTCGTACGCAATCGTTTACTGAAAGATACGTTTTTAGAATTGTATGTTATTGCTAGAATATATTGCGCCTTCTCTTTGTGATGACTCAGTTGGATACTTATCGAACCTTGTCCGGTTCATACATTTAATTACACGTTCGGTAATTCCCGGGTGGAAAGCTAACGTTTGACCTTAAGCGAAGTCGTTCCAATGCATCCACGGATTTGAGATGTCATAAAATATTTTTATGTGGTTCGCGAAATTTACCAACAAACACCTGCTTTGTGCTGAGCCACAAACGGTTGATTGGATCTTCTAAAAAGGAAAACCAATATTTTTCATTTATCACCCAGGCTTAGAACCTATAAATCGCCAGTATGATGCAGCAACCGACAAAGACCATCTTCCAGGGTTTCCGTCCTACCAAAACACATGACCCTCCAGGGGTGCTACGAAGTCGACTGACAGATGTTTTATACTTTTTTTGCATTATAGCAGATGGCTACCGAAATTTTCAACCGCCAGATTAATTTTTATTGCAAAATTCTTAATAGGCTACAAGGTTATCATTGCGACAAATAAGCTTCATTTGGCTGAAAGCCGTTAAAATATACTGGTAAACCGATACAATAGTTTTTTGAAAACAACAAGATACACATCCTTGACGTTGTTGGATGGTTTCATTTCACAACAGGCAGTTGGATGGCCAATTCACTACTGAAGGTTTCTACTGATTTGTGTGTGTGACCGCTCCATTTCTGTTCCCTCTGAATTCGTCGATAACTTTGGTAACACGCACAGACTGCAGTAAAATCTCGGCTTGCGCGCTGTGATGAATTAAAATTTGTGCGCCAACAAGTCTGACAATGGGATGGTAGTTACTTGCCGCTTGGTCCGGCCTGATTCACTACACAGTGACGAGTCAAGCACGATAGGTCGCCCAGACTTGCACTTAACACCGTGTAAACCCAATTTTGTCAAGAAAAACTTCACACCAGCCAACTCATAGGACGACCTACCAGCGAGTTTCCGACTATCCTATTGAGGACTATTCCACTGTCAGTCAGTTATCTGTTCCTGGACAAGGATCACACTTGGTGGTTAAGGCGTTGAACATATTCATTTATTACATCAGTTCACTAGTCGCCAACGCTTTCACCAGGTCTCAAATTACTTGAAAGAACTAACGACAGCATGACAAATTCGTGTTGGCTTCATGTGAGGAAATATTAGTCATCTGACTGACCGTATGCTGGGGGACAGTCAGTTATGTATCTGTTTGCTGTCAACTGTTCCATAACCAATAGACACCAATTTGATAGGTTAAAAACAATTTAGGATCCATATGGCGCAGCAGCGTGTGAATGTGTTCTGTCTCATTTATGGTTCATATTTCAGGTCATCTGTTCACAACGAACGTATGTACAACGTCAGATACATTCTCTAGTAGATGAACCGGGCTTGTACCTTTTGATCGGCGGTGAATCGTCTACTTCAGCATGCGGATTGGCTTCCAGTTTTGCTACCAACCACATTCAGTGTTAGTTCTAACTTAAGTAGTGCACTGTAGCCTGCATAGCAAAGTTTAAATAAGGCTGACTTTGTCACAATTGGAAACGATTGGACATGCGAAAAATTGCATCACTGTGAACAGGAAATGGTACAATTATGGAGCTACTTTGTTCAAGAGGGTTCACCTTACGCTAGGCTATATGAAAAGACACCCTGATTAATTTTCGTTAGGAATATTAAATCAAGTCATCTGCTTACTTGATATATTTTTATGTTTTGCGAGATGGCAGCAAAAAATGAAGGCGCAGTGTAAACGTATCTTTCGTATTTTGTAAGAAACAAAATATCAATAGGTTATTTTTGTATAACGGAACAGTTTTAATTGCAACTTCGCCAAGCTTCAAGAATAGCTTAGGATATTTGCCTTAGTTGGTTGCAACATGGTACTACTGATGAGGCACGCAAGTAGTAGGTGGTTTTCTCACCACTCCGCTTCACGTCTATTGAAAAGTGAGGGTTTCTACGGAATTTGTGGAATCATTTTGTAGCATTCGTTTGCATTTGGGTGATAATTAATATCCTAGAAACTTCAGAAAGATGCTTTTAAAAAGAAGGCGGATATTCAGTCTTTTAAACAAGATGCATATGAGAGGTTTGCTTCCCTTTCCAATAGTCTGTAACTGTTCGGTTGGTGTTTTCCGATAAATAACTCCGCATCGAACGCTTCTTTCTTTCACCTGTAGTTGATGACATTAAGAATAAGCTTAGAATTCTTAGTGTTGGAGAATGTGAATTAATGTGAAGTGCATGTTTTAACTCAACATAAAAATCAGGGGCTTGGTGTCAAATAAGTTTTCGACATTAACAGAGCACATCGCCAGACTTGAAATATAAATACTTTCTAAATATGCTAAACAATTTTTAGCGTTTTAGAAAAATTTTGCTCATATTCTTATGGGCTAACACAGTTTCACAAGCCGTTTAGCCAACCAATGTTGAGAAGGGTGGCACCAATTTGATGTCATTCTGTTTCTTGTGGTACACATGAATTTTCGGAATGCACACTCACGAGTCAAACGTTTCTTCTTCAATGCCAGATTTCGTGCTTTGTCTGAATCTATCTAGTATTGGTAAAATAGAATTTGCCAAAACATAAGTTCAAGCCAAAATCGAACGATGGAAAATTTGCATACATTGCTGCTTAACTAAACCGACAGGAATTGCACACCTTTTGACATTTCAAGTGAATGCTCTGTGACTGACGCTTCTCAGGTCAAGTGCTTCTTTGTCTCAGTAGACTGAGTGGACCAGTCTTGTGGTTATTTATGCCGTAAGGGTTGACAGGGGATCATAGTGCGCTCGATTCGAATACTACACCAGAATCTAACGCACTGAAACATTTTCGGCCAAGTAAAAAATTAACATCAGCCCTATTTTTGTCTTTTTTTGTTATGGCTATAAATTACATGTATTTCACTTGCAGGAATTATTTTGAATGCATGACGTCCATTCGTTTATTCAACAGTTAACTAATGCGTTTGCATGCGAAACGGCAATGTCTTGAAAAAAACATCTTTTCTGTTGCTGTCTAGATTCCATAGGAAAACTGAATCATTTGTGCCACTCCTGCGTTTGCTGTTACTCTAACAAAAACTAAATCATATTACTTTATTACCGGACAGATTAGTGCTTCCGGCGTCGTAATGCAGGCAATCTATTTATCGCATGTTACAGGACCTGGTCTTGTGTTTCAAATATACCCATTTGCAATCGGGACCTTGCCAGTGGCTCCATTTTGGGCTTTCACGTTCTTTCTCCTGCTCATCATGCTGGGAATCGATAGTGGAGTAAGTTTACTTCTTGGTTTTGTACACCGGTTGTAATCAGTAACCAGAGAAATTATCCTATGCCCACTCAGCAAGCATTTACGTGCGTGTATCTGTCACAAAAAGTACTCACTGTGTTTTCGAGCAAAAAAAAAAAGATTTGCAGGTCCTTTCATCGCACTTTCGTCTTGAAGTAACGATGATTCCGTGAAAAAGCAAATGGTATACTCTCGAAACCCACTTAAACTATAATCCGCTTTCAGAATGTGCTAGATTCGGAAACAACAAGGGACCTGAGACTAGCAACACTGGACACTTACCACATCACATTTTGCTCCGCCCACACTATGAGTGCTCGAAACCGGTGTTTTTGTGTTTTATCCAGTACCCATCGACTTTTGAACAAATGACATTCCAGCTACTAAAGGGACCGGATGATAAGGGAACCTGGCTCACTGCGGAAAACGAACGAAGAGCTCGCTCACTGTGTTGGTAGATTGCCGCTAGCAGTGTAAGTGACTTGGAGGGAAAAACCCCTCAGAAATTCATTCGGCAAAGTAACAGCACGGTAGACGGGAGGTTCATCTTTCGGATACAACAAACGCAAGTTTCTTTTCGGTCACAAGAATACACCCGGACACATCAATTAAATTCTCCACCGACTAATTTAACAAAGGATGCGAATAACTTAACGCTGTGCATAGTGAATAAAAAAAACAGCCAAATTGTTGGTAATTTTCTTTGAATTTCAAAATGTAAACATTATATATGGCTTTGCATGTTCACTTGGTCTTCACCTAACTACAAAGATGAGTTGAACGTCTGTCGAACGTCTTTCATCGCTCCCGTCCATTCCTTGCGGCTGTTGTCGAGGCTCTACCACGACCAGATTCAATGGTCACATTGTCTGTTCGCGCAAGGTCATTTTATCTTCTCGAAACAAATGTCGGTTTTGTCTTGGTCTCGAGATGCGGATTCTCCGGTTATGCCAATATTTCGACGAGAAAAACCATATCATTTGTAGAGTTAAAGCAACTGAACATCAGTGCAGTGTACCGGTTACCTAACCGGCTATAGTGCCAGCCACTTTTACACCATATAATTTATAAAACTAGGTTTTGAATGTACAATTAAAGCTGGTAACCTCAGTCACAATGACTAGTAAGGACAATGGCTACTCGGAAACAATTCGCCACCTGGTAAATCAACGGTGAAAAAGAACTGATGTCAGCTTCTTCGAGTGAAAGCATGTTCACGTTTTCACAACCACAACTCCTAGAAGAAAGCATTCTCAATGTATACCCTATCGACCACTATTTTCACTGATCAGATGCATTAACGAAGGTCGATATAACACGGCGTGATAGTTCTGAAATTGGAAGGAAAAAACAATAAGTTTAAACGAGTGCAGTCCTCTTTTAGCTTTCAATCTAGCTCTATTCCATCAAACTCAAAGTTAACATATTTTATTCGCACTGGTGTAGACACTGGTTTAAACATTATACTGTATTTCAGCGAATGACCCGACTCGCGGTGAAGGGCAGTTTTCTGTAACTACTATCTGTATCATTTCAAATTTCACTTCCAGCGGAAACCTCTGGAAAAAAAGGGAAAATATTGTTGTACTCACTCTTAATTCACTGGTTTTAATCCTGGAAGCTAAACCACAGCACTGGACTTCGCAAACAGTATCCCTCCCTAAATGAGAGTAGGGAGTTCGGTTGTACCGAAGAACAATATTGGCACTGCACTGACCGAACTGTGTTACGTTAACATGTTTGAATTCTACGCACCCGTCGTTCGCGAGTCAGAAGTACGCACTGAACGGCTGGTACACGTCTTCTGGGACAAACGGTGACGCATAACTCATAGAGCCAGGCAACAGATCATTGGACTAAGCAGAAAACATCTCTCTGGTCTGTACTCACGGCGGCAGTGAGCATAGCGCTATTTCAGTGGCGTTTGCTCTGGGTGCCTGAATGTGCATAATTAATCCCAGCTAAATAGCCTGAACGGCGCTGAAAAACTCCGATTGTTAAATGTAATATAGGGCAAATGCTCGTTTTGCTTGGCCAGTGTTGAGAAAGGACTACTGGCTCTCGCTCGGATAATAAAATGACTCCATGAAATTTGGTGAACAGAAAATTGAGACGGGTCGTTTCAGTTACACGTGTTTACCTATTCCTACAACATGCAAGTATGTAGTCAGTGAAATTTGCGTACGATGCGAGATAACTGCTGTTGGTTCGCGAAAAAATCAATGGAGGGCATGTGAAAGGCGTTCTCAAATCCACAATGATGGATCTTCACCAAGTCAGCGTATAATATAGAATGGTGGATGTGCTCTTATTCTCGTAGCTTATTTAAAATTCGATCACAGATATTCATATGAAGGCCTGAACTAGTCGGCAGATGTGAAGTACCCAAGTGATTGGGTGAGATGACATTTCCATCTATTCCCAATCTTGCAACAACCAAGACCTTGCCACAAAATATTTGTCCTGCTTACAATCTGATCAGCACATACACCACTGTAAACAGCGCTTCGTTCCAATTTACAACACCAGGTCGTCCAAAAACGTCCGAATAGAGTGAAAACGACATCCTGTCTTTCAGAGCGTCGGTCGTCGGCGATTCAGTAATTTCAGTGAGCGTAATTAAAGATGGTTTGTTCTGTCATTATGCCTACATATTGGAAGCTTGAATAGGTACGGACTGTTGATCAGGAAGCAGCTGGTCTGTTTGCCCAGCTTAGCACTGGCTTGTCCTGCCACCATGCGAGGTAACATCAACAGGGAAGCCTGACCAACCCAACTCTTCATCGGTTTGCCCAGCCTGGGTGGATACCAGAGAAAACTTAGGACGTCCCATAGTTGCCTTTCGAAATTTGCGTAGTGAACTACAAACTGGTCACATTCGATGAAAGTAGCACGAGCTACTCGGCAGTAGTCACGTCTTAAAAAACGTCGTCGGAATCTCCGTTACTTATACGATTACGCAACGCAGTCAATTCTTTTGGAAGGAGGCTACGAAAGTACCGTACAGTATATTCGCCAAGCTGATCTATTCCTGAGTTGATGTCCGGTCCCGTGAATAATGCATCCATTGAATGGTGCAAGTGCGTATCTTTTGTTGCTTACAGTGAGGGAGGGAGGTAACTGAAAACTTTCCTTAGAAAAGTAAATCAGTACCTCGACCTCGGAAGCCAGAGAATGCAAGCGGGAAAAGTCACACTTTCAGCAGCTTGGTTGGAATGAACCAGCTGACAGTGCGTGAGAGTAACGCCATTGGTTCTTTTTTCTCCTGACTTTTTCTTACCGCTGTCCAATATATTTTTCCGCCAACATAGTAGCAGGGAATCGCAACGACGGTGAACGGACTGACTACTGACGAGGAACAGGTAATAGGGGCCTGAAGAGCCCATGCACAATGAAGCCCCCGACAGTGGTTGCCTCTTCTGTTTAGTTGGTTTTGCGAAAAATACTAGTTCAATGCTTATCGCGTCTTGCTTCGTGTAGTGGATGGGAAATCGTGCTGAACTGGTGATGTAAGACATAAGTAAGACATAGTAGCTCTTCTACATTTTACTGATTTGAACACCATAAGTATAAGTTTCATTTTCGTCACGCAGTTAAATCTCGTTTCAGGAAAATTTCGTTTGAAAATGGGCACTTGATCTACGTGCACTCAAATTAGCATTCAAACAAGCAATAACGCTGATGAAAATCCGAGGACAGTGAATACCTGTTGGCTTTGAAAGCGAAACTGACCATGAGCCCTCTGCCAGATCCCATCAGTTTTCTAGACAGTTTCGAGTCTGTGAATTCCCACTATTTCTGATGCGCGTTTATCGTAAAAATGCGATTCTCACGCTCTTTTCATACTTCTGTATTTCAGATGGGCGGACTGGAATCCGTAATCACAGCGTTGAACGATGTGGTCCCAACAAAGTGGAAGAAGCGTCCAGGATTTCGACCTTTTCTTACATTCCTTATTGTCGGATCTGCGTGTCTGGTGGCCCTGGTCAATGCGACATGTGTTAGTTTGGTGATTCTAATGCACCCAGACGAAAACTGCATCTATCGCATATGAAGAATACTCGGCTGGCAAAAAAGTATCCCTTTTTCTGACAGTTTAATAAGCCAAAGAGAAATAAAAATCAAGAACAGTATAGGATCACTGTGCGGAAGCACTTCCATATGAAGGTTTCATCAACTACTGCTCCCAGTAGATCACCATAGACTACCGTTCTCGGATGCTCAGGCTGTGAACATCCACACACATTGAAGTCTCCCCGTATGCCTAACAGGGCATTTCAATACAATCAATGAAGTGAAACCCAGGGACCTAAACTGCTCCAGATCCAAGGTTGAGTGTAAATCAGTGCGAAATTACATACTCCAGATTGTAACGCCAAACCCGAAGTGTTCCAACACAGCTATACCATGAATACCGAGCAGATTTTGTGCAAGAAGGAACAAGGAAATTGTGCAAAGCATTTGGCACTGACGAAACAATGTGTTACACAGGGCCATAAGTCAGTAAGCGCGACCTTCAACTGAGCAAAGCAACTAGCAGTAAAGACACTCATATTGAGTGGATCGGGTCGCCAGTTAGCTGTATTGGAAGGTGGGCAATTTGAATGTTCATCATGTGGAAAACCTGTTAGAGAAAACACAGACAGGGACAACCAAGCACCACCGACGCGAATAAGATGGAAGCTGAAAACTCTGTTTAAATTGATGTTTTGCCTTGGACCAGAATGTAGCTCAATATAGGGTGATATTTCGTTATTAACTTTTAAACAAGGACAAGTGCAACTGATTGCAACTATGTATGACGTAATTCATACGATGAATCTATCGTAACATAGTTCGATAGACCTGGTAAGAAAAAGACGACCCCGAGGAGCACTTCATAATATTTTTTATTTTCATTATCTACGAGACCCCTGTCGCGCTGCCCCACTGTATTTTCTTGCAAGCCATAACTTTTCAGTCAGTTTTAGAGTGATAAGTTTCTGTATTTGAATAGACTTCTGTCTGATGTCTAGGCCCTCAACCTAATCTACTATCGTGCCTTGATTAAACTTGACCTAACATCGTTTAACTCTGTACCGCTGCGCACGGTGGTCCGGTGTCTATACGTGTTTATGAATTTTTCTGATGGTCAGGTAATTCTCATCGTGCTGGTATTTTGTTCTAGAACAGACAACCCATCTTACTTCTTTTGTGAACATCACCGATTAACTTTCGTCAGCTCGCTTTGAAGAGTTGCGGCCCAGTCATTTGTTATAGCATACCGTAAACGAAATCACAGCGCACTGTGAGAACGGGACATATGAACTGAATTTAGGACAAACTAAGGAGTAAAAACGCTATTGAAGAATGTGTAGCTAGCTTTTTATTACTGGCAACCAATCAACATAACTGAGTTGTTTTTGGCGATTATTTGACTGGTCGGACTTAACTTACCTGGAGTTTTATTCTTTTTTTGATGCGCTGATTTTTCAGTATCTTTCAGAAGTTTACGCATGCCAATGAGCAGTACTTCCGTGAAGTTAATCTAATTTTTTTCACATACGGAATGTGCTTAGGGTGGAATGTACGTATTCAATTTGATGGACCGATATGTGGCTGGCGCTTCGCTTCTCATCGGCAGCTTGTTTCAAGTAATTGCAGTATCCTGGTTCTATGGTAAGCATATTTTGTGTACTCTGCTGCTCCTTCATTTCAAACAGTTTGGCAAGGTTTAAATACGCACATTCTGGTAAAAGGGAAGGGACACATTTTTAAGATATAGACTATTTGGCACACCATGTATCAGTTGGTATCACAGTTCTCTGATTACCACAAATTCATCTGAACGATCACTCATTACACAATACTTGTACTTTGATAAAGACTTTGTGTTCGTTCTGAAACTACCATATTTTGTTTCGACTTTCCTGTGCATAACTGGTTGAAAGAACATTTGTTTTTGGCAGTGTCTGCTTAGGACAGATTATCTCCTCGTCTGTGGATGACCGTAAATCTAGAACCTTTCCACGAAGCATGGAGGGACTATGGCTGATGTCGTTGAGACTCAGACGATTACCCGTAGTTCGCTGATAACAAACCTGTGAGTCAAATTACTACAGTGGCACCATTCTGTCACTATCAGACCAGCGAGTATGCTCAACAGAACTCTTGATGGTCCTAAAGGCAAACTATTTTCGTTCCAGGACTCTGAAATTCACACTATGTTCCGTCCTAAGAATTGTTCACTTAATTCGATAAGATGAACAGGACTACTGTAAACTACCTTAACGTTTCATCTCCTTTGACTCGTAAATCTTCAGTTTGCTGAATATACGTGTTTTGTCATTTGCATTCTGATTTGCTAGTGTGAAATCTTGCTAACTATCCTCCCGGTGAATGTTTCAAGATCAATCTTGGTTATCACAGTGTAGATCGGAATCAAAAAGTTGGCACTTTTTCCTTGTTCATCAAAATTGCCTATAAGCAAGAAATGCCATTCTGTCAGGGCCACCCTAACTGAGCCGAGAGCCAATGATCAAGCACTAAGAAACTGTTTCTTCACACACACAAATCTTAAGCCTTATTATCATGGAAGAGCATGCGTTTTGTGGGCTATTTTCGATTAGCTTCTCCGTTAAGCTGAGTCAAACAATAAATGCTTTTGAAGTAAAATAGATAAGGCGTCCTGGTCATTTACTGAGGTTAAACTGGAAAGCCTAACCGTGATCAGATGCCCTTGTTGTTGGTTGTTCGAAGGCAGTTAAAAAGTGAAAAAAGGCGAACAATTTCGCGCAACCGGTTGTAATCTTGCTGGAAGGTCGATTTTGGAATCCTACTTTTTTAAATGGCCCCATGTTTCACTAAACATTGCACAGACTGTCCTATCTTTGGGTGCGTCATTTCGCCATAGGGTGATTTTGAAAATGAAGCTTGGTTCAGACATCCGAAACTTTCCTTAATATTTTCTTCAGGCATAGATGTGCTAACTTTGTCTGTGACGTTGAAAAATCCAGCACTTTAAAAACCAAACACATGCGGTGCGGATTGGAGCTGCATTTTATTGTTATTTGATGTGAATGCTCTTTTAGTAAGAATTATCCCACATTATCAGTCATGAAATATATTCGCTACATTTGGTATCTCATAGAAGGAAAAAAGTTCGGTCAAACATCGATGCACTTCTGTGAATTTTCAAGTGTCCAAAAAGCAAATCCCGAGTTATGGATGATCGCTATTGCCAACAGCCGCACTATGGAAATGTTAACCAAAAATGCATCGTTGTATTGACTATGTGGCGCGAATGTCATCCACTTCAGCGGTTTTTGAATAAATTTTACGTGGAGACATCTAACTGCCCAGGCATCTAAATTAGCGTTTCAAGGATAGATTGGTAGTGTAGTGTGGGACGTCAGGAAGTCAGCGGTATTCGACGTTCGAGAGGATGTGGCGACGGCACACGTCGATTCTGAATTGCGCAGATATAGAGGTTGGTGATACGGAATCCACACGGCACACACAGCACACATTCGCACAGGTCGGGCGACACAGAAAAGAACACCGGAGCGTGGCAACAACACACGTGCATTAAACCGAAAACGAAACCGGAAGTCGGGGGTACAAAGTCAGGTCAAGGTCAATCACGGGGGGTGTAAAGGAGGGTTACTGTTTCCTGCCCGGGACTCGTGGTGGCCGGTCCGTGGTACCTGGAATAGGTGGGGGGAGAGAGAGCGGGAGAGGCACACATAAGGCCATACGATAGACGTGCAAGCAGGTACAGTCAAGTTTCAACTGCGTTAAAGTAGGTGGTTTTAAAGTGGATGACTCTGCTACTGTCGTCTCTATGCAAGCAGCCAAACTATTTCAGCACAAATTTTGAACTCAGTCATTTCTCCCCTTCTATTGAAGGCATACTATTGGGAGGCAACGCTGTAATTTATATTTCAAACTGGTGCTTAGTTTGCTCTTTGAGAGATACTAAACATAACCAATAGAGACTCACTCAAGTCGGCTAGCACGCAAGTGGGTTTCAGCTATTAGCCATTGCTGTAAACGGCTACTCAGTTTCTCTAAGCTTCTAAGACCACTGGACTGGAAATTTTAAAACCAAACCACCAAAAACGACGACAGAAACTGCTGCACTGACTTCGAATGATCTCCGCAGCTAAGTGCACTAATCGAACACATCTGGGCTTAAGATTCTTGCAGCGGTATATAGCAGTGGTGGTAATAATATCGCTCGTAGGGGCGAAATTCTGAGGCCAATGGAGATTTGTACCCTTCCTCCAAGAACAAATATGCAAACGCAGTAGGACAAAAAATTATTGTAAGCTACCATAAAGAACTGGTAACTTTTGACTTGGCCCATTGGAAAAATCATTCCGCAAAGACTGACGGACTACGTACGATTTACTATGCGATCAGATAAAACTTCGTGAATGTGCTCAGAGTTCATTGTGAGAAAACGGAATGATGACTGGAGATCTGAGCAATCTCTATGCTTACTCCTGAAGACGACCCAATCTCAACAGCAGTCGGCCGTTCCATTTTACATCGGAGGTCCTTTTTCTGAAAAACTGCTTGTGTGCTCGGTTGATTCTAGCAGTGCGTGCTGTTTGCTATGATGATAAATCCCTTTAATCCTTTTGTACCTAAAGAACTCCCGTTGCTTAACGCAGAGGGCTTTCTTTCAATACAAAGGGTCAAATTTCAAGCGTTCATATGGGAACAAGTCGACACTCTAGCTGCTCAGCAGATCATCATAATTTTTATGTAGTATTGTCTTCCACTTTTTTTTACGCTGAATCCCATAACTCTGTGCAGTCTAGCCAAACATAGATACAGTGTAATACGGAAGCAACCTCACTTTGGATATTAACGCTTGTACAAACCTGATTAATGTTGGTCTCCGATGGAGCCACCCTTCATCTACATGGAACTGCGAGTCCCCAAATTCTGAAATAGTGAACTATTAGTCGGGCCAAACATTGTCCCTAATGTAACATGGAAGGGTAAAACTGCTTTGTTGATGGCGCGTGCCATCTCAAAAGGCTTTCTAATTTTGGCCTCTCCAAAATCGTTCGTAAACAGTTTCCATGGCCGCATCATAGGACACTGTGTAAGCTCTATGGATCTTAATTTTGAGGACAAACTAAGGTAAGGAATACATTTGTGCGTTGACATTACCCCGGTAAAAGAACGTCTTACCTTTAAATTTCTATCTCATGCTGAACAAATTTCATTTGCTCATAGTACGGACAGCGGGAACGTAAGCAAAAGAATCTGGAAGAAAACTGAGCATAGAATACTCTTACATTAACTTGATGAAGTAGGAAAATTGGGCTACCGAGTATGGCATTTTGTTCAGTGGATTCAAAGTATGGACAATTACACAGTCCGTTCTGGAACTTATGTATCCTGGGTGTCGTTTGAGAACAGTTGGGTTTTTCGCTATGCATAAAGGAAGGACAAACTATGCCATGAGGTGTGACAACGTCAAATTTGGTAAAGGCAATGCACAGGCACCAACCTCATCTACAAATATTCATTAACTTAACGGTGCCAAATCATGTGAGAAAATCTGATGAAAATAGAATTAATATATTTTGTTTTGCTATTTTGTAATTCCACAAGAATATGTCGTGAACGTATAACTTCTTGCCTCCAATTGGCTTTGTACATCTCTCTGTCTATATTAGGAATGGATCGGCTTTGCCAAGACATCAAAGAAATGACATTGCCAGGACCGAGTCTCTATTGGCGACTGTGTTGGAAATTCGTCACACCCATTTTACTAGTGGTAAGTTGCTGAGTTTAGTTTTCTTTCCTCAGGCACCCAACGCTTTTAGAGTGATCAACAACAGGGACGACAATGAGCACGTTAAGCAGTCTGTTGATGATCCCTTTAGGGCATAGTGCTGCTTTACTGACTCTCGCAGGTACTTTTCTTGATGGACAATTCGAACAACCCGGTACTTGCAGCCTTTTCATAAATGACTTATTCAAGTGTAACTTCTGGACCAAAAAAGATAGAATAAGTGATTAATAACATATAAATGCGTGCCGAAACTAGCATTTTCTTACTGTGAGTTCGATGTGGGTCAACAGTTAAAGCGCAAGTTTATGGCCGAAATGTCCACGTTTGAACCCCACCTATGCATCTTGCCTGCACCTGTCCGGCTTCGCGCAACCCGGAGGTAGCAGAGGCTTCGTATTTCCTTGATGCATCGTGGCAGCTAGGCACCGGAACTATGTTGCAGCTTAACGATTATTATTGTCTGCTTTCTTGTTTCACCTTTCCCTCAGCTATTCATTTGTTTAGTCATTCTTGCGTTCAGCTATGGCCCAAAGAGGCTTTGGAAATGTGGTACAAAATAATTCCCAAATTTCATGGTAATTTTACCGCACACCAAAAACATGTGAATCGCCACATCGCTGGCTCAAAAGTACCACTCATATTTGGAAAAACAACACTAATACCAACTCACTGTGCGCGTACTTCGTAGGAATGCAACTTAGTGGCATATAAAGGCTTTTTAGGAACGAAACATGAGCACCCATGTACAATGGAACGTGACAGAAATGTTCCACGTTTGCAAAGGATTATTCAATCAAAACATTGAATCAAGGCCGGTCATAAATAGATGATTCGATATCAACTGAATGGACAACAACTTATGTGGCCCCGACTCCTCATAAACGTACCGCTAATTTGAAAAATAAATCTTTCAACTGGGATTTCATATTGGCATGGCTTAACACTCTATTTATGAAGGTCAAATTACGCCACTTCGTTCATCAAGAAATAACACCATAAAATTTCACTACATTCATTTGGTTCCACCCAATCTAAGGGATGAATTCAGTGTAATGTGTTAAGTTCACGCACGTTCTGTTTTCAAAAACAGCGAGCAAGTTCAGGACGTTTGGTGTTACAGGTGAAATTGTTATGGTTTCAAGGCTCTAGTATTTTGGATATTTGAACAAATGAGACTAAAATGTAACCGAATTTCTCAGTAATACCTCGGCAAGTTTGCATCTGAACGATGTGATGTTAGGCGGGTGCATTCTACAGAAGTGAAACTGTGTGGATTTTTAACAACATGCCTTTTAAGTGTGGTTCTTGAATGGCACAGAAAAAAATGGCTATCACTTGGTAAAAATGTAGTCAGATCATTAGAGTGTTAAATTTCTCAAGTACTACATGCTCTATTTTTAAAATACGCCTACGTTTGTATGAAGTGAAACGTATGTAATCTATATTTCCAAATTTTGGTTTGGTGACACAACTTAAGGTTATGGTGTTGAGCGCCATTCTCGACCCAACACCCTTGCAATACAACTACGGTACACGTCATCCAGAGTTACTGTCCAACGTGTCTCAGGTCGTTAATGTCACTATTCACGGAAGCACACAGGTGTACAATTATCCTCACTGGGCTGTATGGTTTGGATGGTCTCTGACTATGGCTCCTGTGATCATTATCCCCATAACCGCCATCGTAATCATCGTTCAATCTGGATGCCACTTTACGGTGAGTTTCTGTATTTTGCAGCGCAGCATTCATATTTATAAATGAGGACTCGTTTTTTGAGCATTTGTTAACATTTTGTTTGCTTTGGTATTCAATCACAAATTATTTCCGACTATTTCCATGTAACGTGTTTTAAATCAATTATTTTTTATTTGCGGGGCAACTACTGATAATTTTGACTTTTGCGGCATTTTTTCAACGCGTTTGCTTGGCAAATTATACGACAGCTAGCGTCATTACTCTCTTAAACGAGAATGTTCGTAACAAATTTCATGTCTTATTAGCAGGTTTTGCTAACGACCTGCTTAAATGCCAACATTTGAAAAGCGTTGTTGCGCAATTTCTAAGCCTGAATGACATTTTTCTTCCCTCTGATAGTGCACTTAGCCCAATGTACTGTTAATTTCAAAACACAAAGAGAATATTTTATTGCAGTTTTAAGCTCACTTACCACTTTGTTTAAGGTGACAATCAACTGTGGACTGGAAAGTGTGCGATTTATAATCCTTTAGCGTAGGCCACACAACGACGGATGAGCAGTTTTATGAAATGATCATAATATTGAAACGTCTTCGGCGTATAGCACAGAACGCAGGGCTGAATAATGTTACTTGAGAGGTAAGGCATTTCAGAAATAATGAATCTGCAGTTTAGGAGGAACTTTCTCCCCGACCTAGATATACTACTAACTGACAAGAATGGAAATACGCCATGGCTCGAAAACCTCATTCGTTGGTCTGCACAAGTAACACGCCGCATATACTATCGTCCGGACCATTTGAATCCATCTGAGTTTCGGCGTTTAAATCGGATTTACTGGCGAAGGCATTGCGCACTTTTTATGAACTACCTTTGTATTTTTACTTAATGCTCGCACGTACGCTCAAGTCCTCCGTAATTTGAGGCCACTCCGTGTGATTGATTCCTGGTGATTTTTTCTTTTCCTCTCAAATTTGTTGTTCTTTCTTATTCCTGTTAATGTACTGAAAAGTGGCGCATACATTAATTGTTCACCCCAACTCAGGTGACCGGAGCTGGTGAACGGAAGAAGGCCTTCGCTGTGGAGTTATTTATTAGAAAACATCAGCTGAACAGTCACAGACTATTGGACAGAAAAGCAAGATTCACATACGCATCTTGTTTTTTGCAAGCGTCCTACTGAACCTTCCTGGATATTAGCTGACCATCACTCAACTGTAAACGAATGCTAAAAAGTGGTTTCACACTCTCTGTGATGAATCTCACTTCCTATTAGACTCAATGCCGAGTTATGATAAACCATGCTATTCGCATGCCTCATCGGTAGTATCCACCGTTGCACACCTTCCCCTTTTAAAGGTCGCTGGCATGCCACCGATTTCCATTTACCCCCGTCAGGTCGGCCCCAGCAGCTTTTCTAATCGGCATTTCTTCGGATGTACCATGCCACTTCCGAAGCTGAGTCCCATTTACTCGTTTCAATCCCCAACCGCCTCGAGATGTATAGACGTTCACCTGCGGCCTGCGACGACAAACGGACCTCACCATCGACTGCCCAGCTTCCGCAACCCTAGTTCACTTCTTCCAGGGTTCTGATGATCCTTTAACTTGGCCTTCGCGCCCATGAGGAATGATCGTGCTTTTCTACCTGCCGTTTTCTACCCAGCACTTTCCTGAACGGCGGTTAAGTTCTCTCGAACTTTCCTTAATTTTTTCCTAGCTCCTCCGGAGGCAAGCGTGTTGCCGGCTACAATCTAATATCTTAGTAAACTGGAAGGCGCAGATGTCAGTAATACATCAGCATGGACGGGTACTGGCTTGTGGTTGGCTGTATGGAAGCACGATGAGTTAGCAACACCATCGGCAGTTCCACCTCCCAGTCAACAACTTTGGCCTTAGCCCCTCTTTGATGATTCCGTTGTTACAGTTGGTTGGACTGTTTGTTTTCGGGTAATATGGTGCCATCTTCAGGCGTCCGATGCCCGGCTTCTGCAAACAATTCCCAAACTATCTACTCTCAAAGAAAGGCCCCTATTCGGTTGGGATCATGTTTGGCACCTCATGGTTGGTCACAGCATGATGCACTACCGCTCTGCCGATCTTCGTCGCCCGTTGATTTGGCGCGACTGCCACCTCGACCAACCGCGACGGGTGTTCTGTCATTATCATGATATATTTATTTCCGCTGGTTGTCACCGAAAAGGGGTACGTGACATTAACAGGCGATAACTCGTTAATTTCTGAAACAGGAAAGGGTTCCATGGGTTGGGTTGCCTCCGTCGTATCCCATTGTATCAGTTTACAACGCCAACAGGATAGCCCATAATACATCACATCACTTTGCGTCCCGGGTCAGTAGGCCCTCTGCCGAAGTAGGTCTTACGTCTTGGCGCACCCTATGTGTGCTACCCCGTGACATTCGACTATCAGCTTCGGTCACAAGACGCGTGGCATCACTGGCAGCATAACTTCCAAATCGGTGGCGTTCCAGGAAATTATGTCGGCTTCATTCACACTCAGCCGATCAAAGTGACTCTGGAACGTTTCCAATTCCTTGTCTTCCCCTCAGCTCTCAATGACCCTTCAATCCAACAAGGCGGCTGCTATGTCCCGTGACACAGAATCCTGCCGTTGGACTTGCATCAATCTTCTGGAATTTAGTTCGATGATGAGGCTATTGACAGCACTGCTCGGGGGCCCCTATTCGGCCTCTATTCTTGACAGCCACTCAGCCAGGTGGTTCTCCTTCCCAGGCGCGTGCCAGACTGTCAACCGGAGTGCCCAGCGAGAGCGCAATCCGCGAGAACCTATGGTGGTAATTATTCACTCTAAGGGTTTGTGATTGGTTTCAAGATGAAATACTTATCCAAACGGATATGGCCTCTACTTATCCAGGGCCCAGATGATCGCTAAATATGCTTTTTCGTTGGTCGAGTACTTCTGCTCAGTATTAGTCAGGACACTACTGGCATATTCGATAAATCCATTCCCCTGCTTCGCGACTGCGCCAAAACCGCGATCACTAACGTCCGTTGCAACGGTGGACATCTCTTCGACCCTGGGCAGTTTGGAGGTCGGTTGCTTATCCTGCATCCGCACTTTGACGCGTTCAAAAGCTGCACGCGATTCCCAGGTCCATTCGAATTCTGATTTCGTCCGAGCACTTTGCTTATTGGAGCACAAATCGTGTTGAAATCTTTGACAAACTGGCTGTAATACGCAACCCGTCCAAGAAACCACCGCAGGGACCGCTTTGCATCGGCAACAGCGCGGCCCTCAATTTTTGAAGTAAGTGAACTTGTTCGTGGCCCACTTTATGTACAAACAGTGTCACCGAACTCCAAGAGGGCTGTGTCTTCGCATCATTAATCCACTTACCGGCCTCCCGAATATGCTTCAATACGGCCTTCAAGTGAACTGCGTTTTCTGACTATGAATTACTATACACGACAATATCATCTCCGTGCACGATAACATTCTCTAGTCCTTTCGTTGAACGAAACATCAATCGGCGGAATGTGAATTGTGCCCCAGACAAACAGCATCCATCAAGAGTGATACTGAGTGTTCGCAACCGTGAACGCCGTTTTCCCTCGGTCCTCCGCCTTGATAGGTAGTTGTCAGCATAGAGAACGCAAGTCAAACACCTTGAGGTGTCGGGAATGCTGGGTAGAATCGAAAATCTCCGCAACCAAAATGACAGCTTCAACCCGATTTGCGGTCAATTCATTGAAACGCCGAAAATTCACGCGAAACCTGTATTTTTCGTTCGCCTTCCTTACTCAGCTGAACAGTCACAGACTATTGGACAGAAAAGCAAGATTCACATACGCATCTTGTTTTTTGCAAGCGTCCTACTGAACCTTCCTGGATATTAACTGACCATCACTCAACTGTAAACGAATGCTAAAAAGTGGTTTCACACTCTCTGTGATGAATCTCACTTCCTATTAGACTCAATGCCGAGTTATGATAAACCATGCTATTCGCATGCCTCATCGGTAGTATCCACCGTTTATGATAAACCTATTCGCATGCCTCATCGGTAGTATCCACCGTTGCACACCTTCCCCTTTTAAAGGTCGCTGGCATGCCACCGATTTCCATCCATCCCCGTCAGGTCGGCCCCAGCAGCTTTTCTAATCGGCATTTCTTCGGATGTACCATGCCACTTCCGAAGCTGAGTCCCATTTACTCGTTTCAATCCCCAACCGCCTCGAGATGTATAGACGTTCACCTGCGGCCTGCGACGACAAACGGACCTCACCATCGACTGCCCAGCTTCCGCAACCCTAGTTCACTTCTTCCAGGGTTCTGATGATCCTTTAACTTGGCCTTCGCGCCCATGAGGAATGATCGTGCTTTTCTACCTGCCGTTTTCTACCCAGCACTTTCCTGAACGGCGGTTAAGTTCTCTCGAACTTTCCTTAATTTTTTCCTAGCTCCTCCGGAGGCAAGCGTGTTGCCGGCTACAATCTAATATCTTAGTAAACTGGAAGGCGCAGATGTCAGTAATACATCAGCATGGACGGGTACTGGCTTGTGGTTGGCTGTATGGAAGCACGATGAGTTAGCAACACCATCGGCAGTTCCACCTCCCAGTCAACAACTTTGGCCTTAGCCCCTCTTTGATGATTCCGTTGTTACAGTTGGTTGGACTGTTTGTTTTCGGGTAATATGGTGCCATCTTCAGGCGTCCGATGCCCGGCTTCTGCAAACAATTCCCAAACTATCTACTCTCAAAGAAAGGCCCCCATTCGGTTGGGATCATGTTTGGCACCTCATGGTTGGTCACAGCATGATGCACTACCGCTCTGCCGATCTTCGTCGCCCGTTGATTTGGCGCGACTGCCACCTCGACCAACCGCGACGGGTGTTCTGTCATTATCATGATATATTTATTTCCGCTGGTTGTCACCGAAAAGGGGTACGTGACATTAACAGGCGATAACTCGTTAATTTCTGAAACAGGAAAGGGTTCCATGGGTTGGGTTGCCTCCGTCGTATCCCATTGTATCAGTTTACAACGCCAACAGGATAGCCCATAATACATC